TGTGCTGGCAGACGTTTTTATGGCTTGTCCAGGTAACTGAATTCTGGATGTCTGTTAGCCTCCCCCCCCCCTTTTTTTGGTTAAGAGATTTTTGCTTTAGGGCGTGCGCTCACTGGGGAGACAGAGACAGAGATACAGAAGAGAAATCATGCCCCTGGGAGATGGCCACACCACAATCCCTTCTCTTCCATTCTCCTCTCAGGATTTTGGGTGCGCGCGCACACACACACACACCCCGGGCCTCAGTTTTAAGCCACTGGGTCCAGGACTAGAACTGAGGTTGACTACATGGGAGTCCAGCAATATAACCATTATGCCATCGGCTGGCCCCTCTCTTAATCCCTATGTAAATGATGACCACCTTCTGTGATTCACCTCTTCCTGAGTTGGCGTTCACTACTCAACTTAAACCTCACAGAAGTTAAATAAAAACAAGTAAAATAAAAAGTGAGAATAAACAATATGCCAGACCCATTCATGGGGTGCAGGTGGTGGGGCATCACTGCATGATGGAATCACAGGGGAAGGTCCAGGGTTCAGATCCCCAGTTGACTTGAACACTGCTCCTGGCTGGCAGGAAGACTGGCCAGGGGGCAGGGGGCACAGTGTGGTGAGAACCTGTCAAGGTACCTGTCAGTGTTTCTCTCTAATGAAAGAAAAAAAAACTTTAAATAACAGTATGACAACAGGAGAAATATATATGTATATGTAACTGTGTTTTTCGCCAACAGTATTTATCACAATACCAACCATTTACCACTTATGTGTAAAAAACCAGTTAAGAAGGCAAAGAGAAGTTGCCCACGCCTGGCTGTGCAGTCACCAGCAAGCTGGACTGTAGTGCTGGAAGCCACGTGGCCAGTCACAGCCTTGGATCCGGACTGGCCAGAAAACGCACAGGTGTGTGTACAAAGGCCCAAGGTCCCAAAGAGCTAGAGGACTGGGGAAAAGGGACTATACTGTGATGAGACCCCGCAAGGGTGCTTCTCTCTCTCTCTCTCTCTCTCTCTCTCTCTCTGTCTCATGCACATGTGCTTTCTATCATGAATAACAACAACAAAAAAGAACTTGAAAAAAATGAAAAAAGGATACAGGGGCTGGCTCCGAGGCCCAGTGGTTAAGGCAGCTAGATACTACATGGACAACCTTGTGGTCTGAATCCCAAGCTGGGAGCTTATAAAACACTCCAGGTTTGTGTGCATGTGTGCCCCAAATCTTAAAAAAGTGGAGGGATGGAGACGGGATTGCAGGATATCGTATCCCACTTGGTGCTTTTGCCCTCTCCCTCTCTGTTTCTCTCTGGCAAGGGCACAGGCCTTGTGGCAATTTTAAAAAAGAATACACAGATAAGTAAAAAGATAGAGGTAATAAACCTTCAGAAGTTTCCATCTTTAATTATTTTAAGCAGATAAAAATTTACTAAGGGGCCACGTCATAGGTGCAGAGGTAAAGCAACCGGGCCCACATGGGAAGGTCCTGGTGTATACCCTAAGCCCTTCCTATACACATCAGGTATATGCAAGCATGCCTGGGACCCAGGCTAGCACCAGCGGTGGATTGTGGCATGAGGATGCTATTAGGGCTGAGAATCCCTCAGTCTTTCTCTTTGGTGGAAAAAAAATTGAATAAATAAACTTTAGGAAAAAGTGTACTGAAACGTTAAGAATTAACAGCATGTTTTATTTTTAGTGATATGCTTTGAATAGTACAAATGGCATTGTTACATTTTCAATAATTATATGGCTTTCCTCTTACCTGTATACCTGAAGATAAAGCTGGTGCAAAGTACTGCAAGATTCAGAAAGGAAAGGAAGAAATTCCTACAATAAAATAGTTTCATTTAGTCTTTGTCTAAGCATGGCTTCTTAATAGATCCTCTTACAAAGGTATACAAAAATAAAGTAAGCAGTTAGCGTAATGGCTATGTCGCTGGACTCCCACATAGTCGACCCCGGTTCACGTTACAGACACGGTGCACAAGAGCTCACGCCAAAACCTCTCCAAAATAATAATAATAATAATAATAATAATAATAATAATAAAGTAAAACCATTAAAAAAATACAATTCTTGGGATCGGCAGTTAGCGTAATGGCTATGTTGCTGGACTCCCATGTAGTCGATTGTGGTTCACGTCCCGGACCCGGTGGCTTAAAACTCACGCCGGGCATGTGTACGTGCATGCCCAAGATCCCGAGAGGAGAATGGAGGAGAAGGGATTGTGGTGTGGCCATCTCCCTGGGGTGTGATTTTTCGCTTTCTGTCTCTTGGTCTCTGTCTGTCTGGGGAGCCCAAGCGCCCTATAGCAAGAACCTCTCCAATAAATAAATAAAGAAAGAAAGAAAGAAAAGAAAGAAAAAAATATAATTCTTATATGAGAATAAAAAGGAGGGGCCCACAACCTAGTGGTTAAGGAAGGCAGATCCTGCATGGCCGAGCACAGTTCTTGGCCCCAGTGGCTTGAAAAATATGCCCGGGGAAGGACCAGCAGATGGTGTAAAGGTCATGTCACTAGACTCCCATGCAGTCAACCACTGTTTGAGTCCCAGATCCAGCAACTTAAAACTCATGTTGGGCATGTATGCATGTGTGCCCAAAATACAGAAAGGAGAATGGAGGAGAAGGGATCATGGTGTGGCCAACCCCCGGGAGGTGATTTCTTGCTTTCTGTCTCTCTGGCAAGCACATGTGCCCTATAGCAAAAAAATCTCTCTTAAAACAACAACAATAACAACAGCGACGACAAAAAACATGCCAGGGGTGTGTGCGTAAGTGCCCAACACTCCAACGGGAGGGCGGGATGAAGGGGCTACAGTGTGGTCATGCTCAGTGCAGGGCGCTCGCTCCCTTCCTCTGTCTGACAAGCACACACCCTGCAGCAATTAAAAAGACAAATAAGTAAAAAAGAACGAGAAGAAGGATGCGGCTAAGTACCTAAATTTCTATGCCAACCACAAGACCATAATGCTAGCTGTCATTTACTGAGCACCTACAATGTCATCAGACACGTACCAAGGGGCTTTATATGTGTTACTTTATTTTAGCTTCTCAAAGAGCTCATCATGCAGTTTTACCCCCATTTCAAAAAACAGAAAACTGAAGTTCGGATACTGAATAACTGGATCAAGTCACACAGTTAAAGCCCAGTAAGGCTTGGATTCCAGTATGAGTGTGACTTCTCCATCCGCCATGGTTTAGGCTTAGAAAGTTAAAAAAAATTAAAAAAAAATGAAATCATTTCTACTACATTATAAGACACAGAGAAAATTTTTTTAAATGAAAAATATTTCAAGTTTTTAAAATTAAAAAATATTCCTAACATAAAATTATTTTATCCCCCCCCCCAAG